AGACAAAAAGAAGCTGGGGAGGGCAGGGGCAGAGTGGCCGGCCCAGGGCAGTGCAGGCGACAAAGGGATGCTATGGAGAATAAGTATGTTTCAGTACTCCAAAAAGACACAAATCAGAAATCCTTATGTCCTGAATAACTTAATACCAAAAATATAAAGCAAAATATAGGGCAAAAACTATTAGAAAAGCCTGGAGACTGAGAGCAAACAGTGTGTGAGACAGTCCTCAACCTCACTCATGATCAGAAGTGTAAGTGAAAACATCAGGGCTGCCTTTTGTCTGCACATTATGACAGCTTTTGAGACCTGCTATCACCCACAGCGAGTGAGGACACAGAACAGCTCAGTAGACTGCGAGCTGGGTTAGGCGGCACAGCTCTCTAGAGGGCAGTTCAGCAACATGCAGGTAACTTGAAATGGGAATACCTGTTCTTGGGCAATTTCTAGAAACACCTGCACAGACCGGAGGACGATGGCCAACATCTGGACACAACCTAACACTGGGGGTGAGTAAGTAGCTCTATAATGGTGTAGAAAACAATGCTTAGAACTCAGATGTGCAAAACCAGATTGTGCCATGGACAACAGACCTCTCTCTGTGGTCACATGAAAAAAGAGTTGTGGGTACATGCAGAAAGGGCCCTGGGAAAATGCAGCAAACTGTGTTTGGTGGTTATTTCTGGGGTAAGTGGGGGAGCATGGAGTCAAAGGTATTTCTAAACTGCCTGAATTTTTTTATAAGAAGTATTTACTTCTTAGATGGAGAGTCTGGAAGCAGAACACCAGCCCTCCTGTAGAAAAGTCCTGCAAACGTACCCCCATGCACCTTCTCCTTTAAGGAGCCCGAGGGACCCCGCATTTCCTATCATAGTTGGCTTCCACCTGCCCACAGCATGGTGCCTGCCACTGAGAACTGTTCCATTAACACAGATAGCACTTGTCTCAGAACCTAAGCCTTCCAAGTCAGTCTTGATCTGACAGACAAGCAAAATGGATTTCAGGGCTAGAAGCCCCCCCCCAATTTTTTTCAATAAAGGTTTTTTATTGCATCATTAAAATATCACAAATGTCTTAGGAATCATCCTGCATCTTGTTTCTGTAGCTAGACAGCTCTTAAATCTTATTTATCAGGCTGCCGAATGGTTCTTTTTTCAGAGACACATACCATCCAAAAACTTTCTGCTATCCTTGTTTTTAANAACTGTTCCATTAACACAGATAGCACTTGTCTCAGAACCTAAGCCTTCCAAGTCAGTCTTGCTCTGACAGACAAGCAAAATGGATTTCAGGGCTAGAAGCCCCCCCAAATTTTTTTCAATAAAGGTTTTTTATTGCATCATTAAAATATCACAAATGTCTTAGGAATCATCCTGCATCTTGTTTCTGTAGTTAGACAGCTCTTAAATCTTATTTATCAGGCTGCTGAATGGTTCTTTTTTCAGAGACACATACCATCCAAAAACTTTCTGCTATCCTTGTTTTTAACTGCTTGGCTTGCTGGATCAAAGCAGCTGACTTTGAAACAACTTCGATGTCGTTTCCTTCAAGGATGAACTCATCTTTCAACAAGCAACGCCTGCCTCCTGTGAACCCCACAGACGCATTTTTCCCCCAAGAAATTTTGGATTTCAACAACAGACTTGTCCTCCTGAATGACAATGCTGATGGGGAAGTGAGTGGAGGCCTAGGTCAGACCCTCGATCATGTTCTGAATGTGACTACAGGTACTGCTAATGGTAGGTAGCCAGTGTCTTTCCATTTTCCCACCATCTGTCAACTGGAGCCTCTTCTTTTTCTTTCCAGGGAGACTTAGCACTACACTGATATCACTGAAGTCCCTCCTCAGGGTTCCTCTGGGACCCTTCACAATAACTGTGGGTTGGTTCAGAGTGACGCCACTTTTTCTGTAATGGCGACAAGTCACTGAGAATGGTCATCATTCTCGCAGCGGATGGGGCAAAGAGAACTAGAATCTCAAAATGTAACAGCTTTTATAAGCTTTCTTAAAGATGATGCAACTAGAGAGGGCAGTGTGAGGGACAGAGGACAACTACCCAGCATCTCAGCGGCCCAAGGTCACAGACAAGGTCACACAAACCATATCCTTGGACCTCCTCTCAGACCCCTCTTATTCATCCACTCTGGCTTTAACTAATCTCCCCAAGGGCTTTTAACTGGCTTCAAGGATGCCTCCTTCCCTCAAGAGTCCGAAAAGGAATAAAACTGTTTTGAGGAGCAGCTCAGTGTGGCCTTACCTTTGCTCCCCCAGGACCGCTCGAGCACCAAAATACCTCTTCAGTTCTGTGTCTGGATTCAAGTGTCTAGAGAATTGAAAATTTAGAAAGAAAAATGAAGGTGCATTCTTGCACAATGACTCTGGAAAAATTTTAAAGCCACATAAGAATCCAGTAGGGAAAAACAGCGATTTTGGCTTGGAAGGCAACCTCCAGGCCTACTTTCTTTTTTTGTTTTTTTTTTTTGTCCTTTTTGAGACCGGCTGCACCGCGCTCAGCCAGTGAGCACACCGGT